CTTCAATTTTTCTCTTAAATGTCATTATTTTCTTCATTTCCCCAATGCTTCCTTTTTTCTATTTTTGCCCTTTTATGAATTTTCAGTCTCTTATCTGCCAAGAATATATATATAGGTATGTGTGTATATATATATATATATATGTGTGTGTGTATATATATATATATATACACACATACACATACACACATACACACACATATGTACATGCAAAGACATATATGTACACACACATATACACATGTATACATGTGTAAATAATTTTTGCCCTTCTATGAATTTTCAATCTCTTATCTGGCAAGAATAAGTATATATATATATACACACACACACACATATATATATATATACACACACACAGATATATATATATATATATACACACACATATACATATGTAAATAACTATAACATGTTGATTATACATTTTATGAAGAGATATTTATTACGTTACATTTATATGTTTTCATAATTTCTCAGTTTTATATGTCTTATTAATTTAAAAGGCAGAGAAGTATATTTGTCATTTCTCTCTTTAAAAAACACTATAAATTTTTTGGCTATTTGTACATAGCCTATAATTGATCTGCTTTGCATGAAGAAACTAGCTGTCATCAACTGGCATCCAAATATGAGGTGCACATTTACTCTAACCTCTTTTACATACATGATCTCATCTATCTGGCAGTAATTCTAAATAGGAGAAGAACACAAAGATTTCCAGAATGGTTGGATTTGCTTTTCTGATTGTGTGTTCATCTATGCCTAAATTACTATATTTAAAGTAGTCATTTTGATAAAATGTTTTTACTTGCTAATATCTAGTTTATCCTTCAATCAAACCCAGCAACAAAGAGAGAGCAAGAACATATGAAATACGTGATGAGATCAGTCCCATAAAAAGACTGGAATCAAAGCCGCAGATTTATCATGAGACACGTGACTTGGGCCAGATTCCACAAGGAAGAGGATAAATATGTAGAAGCAGAATCAGCTCTGCTGAGGAAGTGAGAGAGAAAGATGGAAGCCATTTGTCTCTGAGGATCATATGAAGAGGGGACAAAGGGGTCATTTCGTTATGTACCTGGAACATTTTGGGACCAGATCCCCATTTTGGGACCTTTTGAGTGTCAGCATGATGCCACAAGTGGAAAACTTCACACCTGACCTCGTATGACAGCTCATAGTAAAAACTTTGTTTCATACACAAGATTATTTAAAATATTGTATAAAATTGCCTTCAGGCTCTGTGCTTAAGGTGCGATATGAAACATAAATGAATTTCATATTTAGACTTGGGTCTCATTCCCAAGATATCTTAAGTATATGTAACTATTCCAAAATCTGAAAAAAAAATCTAAATCCAAAAATCTGGTTCCAAGCGTTTCAGATAAGGGAACCTCAATGCATATGCTGCATTTAAAACTGCTTTCAAGAATTGATGTTTGAAATTTTTTAATTTTGATTTTTAAAATGTTACCTTGTTTATTTTTATAACTTTTGCAGATGAAGAAACAAGATAAGCTTTCAAGTTGTGATTTACAAACATAATGCTAGGTTTGGATGCTTGTTTCCTTCAAAAAATGAGTCAAAGTAGCCATAATTATTACTATACTTTTTTGCATATAGATTTTTTGAAGTACTACAGACAACTTGGTATTTTCTAAATTTTGATCAAATGAATGCAATGTGTAGATCTAGTGAAGATCTGAGACATGTTTACTGTATAAGAATGCATTCTGCCTCTAACCATTGATTGAATACAGGTTTGCATTAAACAATATGTGCTAGATCAATTCCATCTGCCTCTCCAGTTCTATTCTCCATCCTCCTCCACTCAATGACTCATTGTAAAGAGTCGGCTTTTACAGATTGCATCAACGAATCCCTTCTGCTCTGGTTTCTGATGGGTTTGGCCACTAGAAATTGAAGGTAGGTTTCGTCGGTTTATTTCTCCAGCCTGTAGGTCACCACAGGCTGGCTGAGTCCTGTGACTAATGATTGCAGCTCCTGAGAAGGGGTCCTCTCCATCTCCTTACCTCTTCAGACTTGGCTTGACCATAGCTCCTTAACACTGCTAGTCACAGTATTCTCCATTGTTTCTTGTGGTTCCCCCTTATGCTTTTCACACAATTTAAATATTTTCTTCCTTAAACTCTTGTCAAATTACATAATTTGAACGTGAGCATTTCGTCTCTTTTCTGCCTTGACCCTGACTCTTATGTAATACAGTACTATGAATGACAATGAAAAACTCCAGAAGGGTTATAAACTTGGTAGCCTGAGGCATTCAGCTAACTAAAGGAACTGAGCAATTAAATCATGATTTGTCTCATCTGATCTCTGTTAAATGCCACACATACTCAGCCAAACACGTATTTAAGGCTCAAGAGAAAATTAGTCCAAACATCATTTTATTGTTGATTTTAAAAGTAGAAATTAAAACCACAAACACTCTTTAACCACAAACACTTCCAAAAAAAATCTGTAAAGTTTGCAAGACATCAGTTGTGAAAAAAAAAAGAGAAAAGTTTTGCTAAATGAAGCAATTATTTTTCACTCCTTCCCTATGAGTAAATTCTTGAATAATGTGTGGGTGTGTGGTTGTGTGTGTGTTTGTGTGTGTGTGTGTGTGTGTGTGTGTGTGTATGGGGGATGAAGTGAGATTTAAAAGTCTATGAATATATAAGAATATACAACACTACTGATGAAAATTATGTATAACACCAACATTTAGAGTGAATTTTCGTTACTTATTTGGTACATGGAAACAGTCACAGCTTTCTTCTAGGCCAGGGTTGAAGTTGGGGTTCAAGGGAGGGTAATTTATTATTTGGCAAGGAGACAATCCCACCCATCCCATAATTGTTTGAGTCTTGAAGAATTCATGGAGAAGCTGGATTATAAATACAAGAGATGACTATAATAGTACAATATTTTGAAAAATGACGTGACGAGCTCAGATCACTGACTTCCCCACTGACCACTGACATGCAGCGAGTTGTGAGCACAGCATGACAGCTGGCTGAGATCACTGGCAGGAAAGGCGACACATCAACTCACGGTAGAGGAAGCCCAGTTCCTCCCGTTCTGTTGACCATGCCAACATGAGGCCAGGAGAGAGATTTTTTGAAGTACTACAGACAACTTGGTGTTTTAAGCAATATGGCACTAGGGAACCCTTGTCTCAAAGCATATAATGTTTATTGATCTTCTTTTAATAAAATCCCTCCCACTCCATTACGGCTTATATTATTGAGGTGGTGCCAGCTACTGGGCTCTGGTGAAGATATTTTTCCAAAGTGAAGGACCTATTCATCCAGATTCTTACTACTCTTTACATTTCTGACCCCAAAAATGGCTATGCCTGCCTGGCTGCAGCATCTCTCTTACACTCACACACATGCACACACACATACACACACACACAAACTCTTATGGTAAAATTACATTCGATGATTCATGAAGTAAGAGAAAATCCATAAGCCCCAAAGCAACATCTTGGAAGAGGTAGATGGACCCAAGAAAGAAAGGTCATGTGAGAGTAGAGGTGTGACTTCCTTTTCCCCAGGACATGTAAGATGGCCAGTAAGAACTGGTACAAATCCTTCCACTTCCCGCTTCCTCCTTGTTTGCTTTGTTTTACCTCATCCTGCTTTCACCCTGTTTTTTCGTCCTCTTTACAGGGTAAAAGAAAACCAACTGAGAGCCACTGGGTTGAACTGGAGACAAAATACTGGTTACAATGGAGGCCTAAGCCCTGGAGGCTAAGGTGTGTAGCCTTCCAGAGAAGAACTTCATAACCAATGGTTACAGCATATTTTCTTCCCAGGCGTGGGGCAAAACAACAAAATTAATGCAATTTTTCCAAGCTTCCCTCACCCTCCACAACCCTACCTTAGGCAGCCAATATTTCCTTGCATTACTCTACTGTCAAAAATGCTGTCCTGGGCAGCTCACACCAATGCTTAACCCAAAGGAGTCACATGAATAAACAAACAGATGAATAATTATTGAGGAATATATTCCCCAATATTATCTTACTCTCCACAAAATCAAAACTTCCCTTTACTGATGACCATCAGCTTACTATTAATATTTGTTAATGTCATTAATAAAATTGATGGTGAATCTCAATATAAATATATATCCTCTGGGAGGGTTACACTGGTGGTGAATCTCACTATATGTATTTATATATATATAAATATATTTATATATACATATTTATATATATATAAATACATATAAATATATATATAAATATATTTATATATATAGTGAGATTCACCACCAGTGTAACCCTCCCAGAGGATCCTGTCATCTTTAAAGTAGATCTTTGTACGTTGGAAAAAGCTATAACCCAAGTTTTTGGGGGTCCGTGACACACAGAATCTATGGCATTTAGTAGTATATAGTCATGACACCCCCACCCCTTGCCCCAGCTCACTTTTCCAAGTGACACTGCATCCTGTGGGGCCTATACCCAGTCATGATGACAGAGGAGGTTGATATAAATAACCACAAATAAAAAGGGCATCTCTTCCATGAAGCGGATAATGTCCCAAGGGAGCAACACATTTCTAGCTTCTGACCTTGTTGCCCTAAATAGTTCTGCCCCAACACAATTATGTATTAGCAAAAGTAGCGTTGCTCAAACCCATTGATTTGCTGCTACCAGCCAAAGTATGATGGGCTGGTTGTCTTCACAAGGGAGTTTTCACAAAACAGTTATATTTTCAAAAGTTATCAATGAAATTCACTGTAAGAATGCATCCATATATCTTAAAATGAGCTAATTCTTTTTATTAACACCATTGCCTCATGCAGTGAGTTCTAGAACAACTACAATGCCTCTTAAGGAAACCTGGACAAGTAAGGTCTTTCAGAAAGGAACTGATGTAATGAACACTGGATTTGGGGACACGACTCATCTACATCAGGTGCTTGCAGAGGCCTGGGGAGCCTCCTGCAAGGCCGTGAGGTGGCTGGGCTCTTACCTTACCACACTGCTTACATTTCCCCTCCTGCCGACGCCTGTGTACCCAGTGATGACGCACAAAATTCTGTGGGAAAACAAAATTAAATCAATATTTTATTTCTAGAGACAGGGTCTTGTTCTGTCATCCACGCGAGAGTACAGTAGTATAATCATAGATCACTGCAGCCTCGAGCTCCTCTGCTCAAGCAATCCTCCAAAGCTGGGACTACAGGCATGAGCTACTGCACTTGACTGAATGTGTTTTGATTTGCAAACCTCAATATTCATTTTATAATGTTGTAATACTATTGATTTATATAAACCAGGATCTAAGCCTAGATGAGCCCAGAAACAGATATTTATGGATATGACTTATTTAACAATAAACATGAATCTACTTGGACAAATGAAGTTAGTCCTCCATCCCTGATGTCTTTCATATTTGTACATCCCACTTCTCACGCCCTCCCTCCACATCCTCAAAGTGGCAAGTAGTCTTACCAGATTGCTGTTACTCTACTGTCTTACTAGTCAAACACTCAGCAGATTTGTGAACACAGTAGAGGACACTGGGCTGGGAGGTAACTGAGGCAGGTAAAAGAAATATCCAAAGAGAAGTGGGAAGGTGAAGGGGAGAAGCTGAAACAACAATATCCAGTTCAATTTAACAAATAGTATGTAGTGCTTTATCTGTGCCAGGCAGGCCCTATATCAAACATTCTAGCTAGAGAGAATGTCAATCAAACTCTCAGAAATAGATCTCCTAATCCAAGACTTAGGTGTGAGAATTATTCACCAGACAGAATGAAGAAAGAAAAAAGCTGAAGGAAATAGATGTCAAGGACAAGAGGCATAAGCATATCGATGGTGTTTTTGCAATGGTATTGTGTCTAAACCATCCTTGGGCACTTTGAGCTATTACAGATTAGCTTTCATGGTCTACCCTTGTCTCAGACTGCAGAAAATACAGAAAGTCCTTTCCCTCCCGAGTAGAGAAGCACTCCTGGGGCAGAGTCAAGTAGCGCCATTCACTGTTAGTTCTCAGGATACATTACAAGAAAGTCATCCTCAGGACTAAGAATGCAGGCAAGCCCTAATAACTTACAAACAATTTATCGCTCTAACATCAATACCCCTAAAGTACTCTTTGTTTTCTTTCGTCCTTTTCTGTGAAAACATGCTTTACATCATACTAACATGTCTACTATAGGAACTAGCCATAGTCCCTATTTTCCCTTTAAAAAACGCTTTAATATATATTCAGTTATTCAAATTTTTTCCTACATGTCAGGCACTGTTCTATTAGTAAGTACAGGTAGACAGAAAATAGATCAGTGTAGAGGGGAAAAAATGTTATATGTCAAGGCATGAAATTCACAGTGACACGAATACCGCTAATAAGCATTAGCATTATCAATACCGAAATGCCACCTCCATTTCTCTTAATAATGTCAAATCCACTTAAACTAAAACTAGACAAAGATCCTGGAAGAATAATGATCTTTTAACTATAATCAGATATAAGGGAGCACAATGGTCCCACAATTTAGTCTGATTTTTGTCTTGCTTTTCCTACTACCACAGTTTAATAAAACAAAGACACAAGCTTAGGTTGTTCTAAGAAAGAAGCTAATTATAATAGCTAGCGCTTGTTGAGTACTGCGTGCCATGCACTTTAAAAAATATTTTATAAGTAATAGTTTGTGCATCTATTTCCATCATAGTTCTTTTAATCTTCATGAGAATTTTCAGGAGTAGAGATGCCACTTAGTTGGAATGTATCAATAAAGTCCTACGAATTGTTGAACTATTGAAATGCCTGTGGACTGGTAAATTGCAGTTTAGTGCCCCTACCATCTTCCTGACTCCTCCCCTGCTGCCACAGCATCCACTACCTCCCTCAGGGGAGAGACCACTTCCACCCCCTCATTGTTAAGCAATTATGATGTTAATATCTGACATGATAGGTTTCCAGGATCCTATTCCAGTGACCTCTCTCTTCTGAAAACAAATCATGTTGCAATGTTACTGGTTCCGCCAAAGAATCTCAGAAGGCTGGGCTGGGCCCAGCCGGTGGTAACTGTCTGTACAATCTTAAATTTCCACATGGATAGACAATCCTGGGTCCTATGGCTGGCTGCAGCTTTCAAGAAAGTGACGGCAATTCCAGAATAACCTGCCCAGTTATCAGTATCCATCTCATCAGTTCAGTGCAAAAATTCTACTGAGGATGAAGGTACTGGACCTGCCACCTCTTTTCTTTGCAGCTGAGGCTACTGCCAACCCCTCTGGCATCTGCCTACTCAAGAGGTAAGATGAGAACCTTAGTCCACTGCCTGCTTAAAAATAAGAGGAAGAACCGGAGCCAGCTTCCAACTGCAGGATATCCCAGTTCACACTAAAGTAGGGCACATTATCAGAAGTTTTGATTTGAATGGTCAATATCATCCTCATTTTACAGATAAGGAAACTAATACATATAGTGGTTACTTAAAATGTAAAGGTTAAAGTGAGGGTCCAAACCCAGACAGGCTGGGAGCAGAATCTGTGCTCTTACCATTGTGTCACTGTGCCTTTCCTCTGTCCCACAAGACAGGGCTCACAATACTCCAGCATGACACACCAACAAGTGATTTCAATGACAGTCAGTAGTAGAAACATTGAATATATAAAAATGTCAGTATCATACTTAACAGAAAAATGTAAGGTAATTGCCGTTAGTATAGCAGAAGCTGAGGGAAAATGAACAATATCATTGATGTTCAGAAAAATTCTGTACTTAATTGAGATTACAAATCACCTAATGACTATCAATTTAAGAAAGAACATGTTGGAAACATCTGATGCAATTACGTTTTTGAAATCATGGCTGACTCATGGGATCATTTAGGGAGTGACAGCTCTATTCAAAAGAGTCAGCCAACATTTTTCACAAATCAACAATTACTTAGAAAGCTTAGGACGGACTTCATCATGAGTACTGCAACACCCAGTTGTCCCTTTTTCCCAGGAGATATGTTCTAAGACTCCCAGTGGATGACTGAAACTATGGATAGTTTACCAAACTTTATATGTACAATGATTCTTCAATCTAATAACTGAGAAAACTACTGAGTGACGAATGGGTAGGTAGTGGACCCACTGAACGGACGGGTGATTCATATCCCAGGACAGAGAAGGATGACACAAGATTTTGTCATGCTATTGAGAACAGCATGCAATTTAAAATTTATGAATTATTTATTTCTGGAATTTTGGACTGTGGTTGACCTTGGATAACTGAAACCTTGAAAATCATGGATAAGAGGGAACTACTGTGTATCATTTGGTAAGCAGATGTATAATATCATATAGTTTAGTTGGGGAATAAAAAAAGAATGTTTTTAAATTATTATTTAATTATTACTCTCTATGGCTCTACCATTTGTTAAATTTTTTAATATCATCCTTCCTAGAAAATAAGTAGAAAACTAAGGCATGGATTGATAAACTAACTTATAGAAAATCACTATCACAGAAGAAATTGAGTAACTGTCTTCAAACTACAGCTCTGTGATAGGAGATGTCCGCCATCCTTCTCTTCAGAGTTCTTCCAAGGCCCAGTATAAATTTATTCTACTGCTGCTTAATCATTGTTTGAACAAAGCGAACACTTAATACATGTGTGTTGAACTGAATGGAATTATCCACTTAATTTCTTTGACTTTTAAATCACATAGTTACCATGGAGGAGGGGAGGATCATCAATTGCCTTCATCAATAAGAAAAAAAAAGCATTACTCTAGAATCATTGCTATTTTCTAGTCCTTATATCCCAAGCACTTTAATTTCTCACACTCTTTTCTTTTGACCATTATTAAGAGCTCCTAAATTGCTGAACTGATGTTGGACTCAGGATCCTTAACACTGCAAATGTAAGTGTTGATACATTTCTGTTAACATAGCAAAGCAAGGCTCCTAACACCATAAAACCTTTTTATTGCTCATCAATAACTTCTGAATTATTCATATACAACTTCAAATACTGGGCAAGGAAATGGCTATTACTTTTGGGTGTTAAAATATTAGTAATGCATTATTTCAGGGCTTGTATTCAGTGTTGTTAGCAAAAATACATAACACAACTGTTCAGCTATTCTCAGTCAATCGAACTGGGATAAAAGACTACAAATTGAGTTCAGTATATACTGATTGGGTGATGGGGTGCACCAGAATCTCACAAATAACCACTAAAGAACTTACTCATGTAACCAAATATCACCTGTTCTCCAAAAACCTATGGAAATAAAAAATACACACACACACACACACACACACACACACACACACACACACACCCCGTATTATTCATTGAGAGTTTGAAAGGAGCTTAGAAATTATAACCTAATCTGTTATAGCTTATGACTAAGAAAAAGGAGATCCAGAAAGATTCAATTTAAGAGGGCTCCAACAAATATCTATTTAAAAACTGCCACATGTCAGGCACTATACAAATGCCAGGGCATAGTGACCAACAATCCATGCTCCAGAGACTCTTACCACTTAGTGGAAAAGAAGCAGAGGTATAATCTGAACTAGGCTCATACTAATTCTAGAGCAAATGTTCTTCCATTTACTAAGTAAACACCTAAATTAGTAGTAGTAAGAATTCTTAATTTTTAATTAAGAATATCAAATGGGTCACAGTCAGTGAGTCATAAGTTTCATCTCCAAAATGTCCTTTTAGATCAAGAGTTCCTAAACATTTTGGGAGAAGTGAACACCTTTGTAAATGTATTCGATCAGCAGATATCCATCAATCACATACTCTGTGTTTTGGTGCAATTAATTTAGAACAAATTCCACAAGTGACCTCCCCAAGTTTACACTAAAGAAAGGAGACATTCTTTAGACAAGTGAACAGTAATATGCATAAATTATTATGGCATACACAGTGCCCTCTTTGATAAAGAACACTAAGCTATATATTTAAAGGTGGTTGTTAAGGAAGACCTCAGCAAAGGACTGGAATTTGTGGCCCCTCAAAATTCATATGTCGAAACCCTAAACCCCAAAGTGATGGTAATAGGTGAGGTATTTGAGAGGTGATCAAGTAATGAGGGTAGACTCTTCATGGACGCAATCAGGGTCCTTATAAAAGTGACTGCAGAAAACTCTCTAACCCTCTTTCCTCCGCATGAGAATACAATGAGAAGGTGGCAGTCTGCAACCCCAAAGAGGGTCCTCACTAGAACTGGACCATGCTCGCACATTGATCTTGGACTTCCAGCCTGCAGAACAGTAAGAAATAATTTTTGTTGCTTATAAGCCACCAAGTCTATGGTATTTTATTACAATAGCCTGAAAAGACTAAGACAATGTCTGTGTGGGGATATTTGAACTAAGGCCTAACTGTAAGAAACAGTCATGCAAAGAGATTTTCAGTACAGCAGTGAAATACACAAATATTCAAAGGTGAGGAGTATTTTGGTGTGTGCCTCACAAATGGAAAGAAAGTCCATGTGGAGGCTGGAAAGGCAGTCGTGGCCCTTTTCATGCCAAGACAGTGGGTTTGGTTTTGCTCTAAGAGTTATGGAAACCACTGGAGAGTTTTAAGCCAGGGAATATTATATTAGGTTGTTGCAAAAGTAATTGCTATTTTTGCCATTACTTTCAATTACTTTTGCACCGACCTAATAACCTACCTTTCATTTTGAAAGATCACTCCTTTAAATCATGGGTGGATTGAAAGTGAAAACTGAAGAATCACAAAGAAGCTTTTTCATTGGTCAAAGGGGAGAGGTCACAGTACCTTAGCTTAAGGTGTTGGTGATAGAATTGCAGATAATGGACTTGAAATATATTTTATAAATAAAATTGAAAGGACTGGCAAATGAATTAGATGTAGGCAGTCTGTGAGAGAAGGAATAAACATGACCCCACAGTTTTCTCAATTGAGGAACCGGATCAACAGCCATCTCATTTCCTAAGATGCATAAGATTGTTTTGAAATTGTTTTTATGGTGAAGGAAATAGTCTAGCGTTTGATGTATTATTTTTAAGACGGCTGTGATACATTCAAGGGACATGCCAAGTGGAACTCCAAGAAATGCAGACTGGAAATGTAAAGTTAGGAGTTGTCAGCCCACATGGCATTTGAAGCTATGAGACTGGATGAGCTTCCCTAACAGGAGTGGGCAGAGAGAAGAGAACACAGACAAGAACTATGCTCAGAGGGATCTGCAGAGGTTGGGGGAGCGAGCATGAAAAAGAATGAGCAGGGCTACCCAACGAAGCAAGAAGAAAATTAGGAAAGGATGATATGAGGAGCCAAGAGAGGAGGGCGTTCCGAGAAGGATGAAATATGTAATACCTTAAAATTTTTGAGAGACTCAATAAGGAAAGAAGAGAAAAATAAATAATACCTAAAACATGTAGCATATAGGAGATCATAGGCAACACTGAAAAAAGAAGCAATTTCAGTAAATGGATAGAGTAGAAATCAGATCAGAACAGGTTACAATGACTAGAAAGTGACATACTCAAAATAATTTATATAGTTAACACTTTCTGGAAGCTTGGCAGTTTGACCACAAAACTGAGAAGCAGGTAAGACACAGTTAGTGGCTAAAAAATGTTTTGTTGTTTTTTTTTTTTTTTTTTAATGATAGAAAATATTAGAGCATGTTTATGCTGATAGAAATAATCTAGAAGTAGGGGAGGGGATGAAAATATATAAAAGGAAGGAATTTCCAGTCCTTGATAAGAAGACAAGGGAGAATATCCAAAACCCTTATGGAAGGTCTAGTCTCAGAGAAGTGGTACAGGCTAATAAAAACCAAAAGCACCTAGTATTAGAAAAATTGCACAATTAAAATTGTCTCTCTGTCTTCCCCTGCCTCCACACTGACCTATCTACAGAGAGAGATACATATAGGAGGGCAGGAAGCCAAAGGTAGGCATAGGAATCCCCTGGTTGGAAAGTCATAAACTCCATCTTAACATGAAACTATCCCTTCAGGTTTCCTAAATAAAGCACCTGGTTCATTTGAGTTATCACTGAGTTATCTCCTGGCCCACGCTGTCTGCACTCTGCGTGACACTGAGGCACCACAGCCCTATCATTCTTCTCCTGCTCTTCTCACCCTGCGCAGGGCCCACAGCCTTCCTGTGGCTGCTATGCTGGACAAACACAGTGGGAGAAGACACCCGATGGGGACAACTATGTTTTTCTCCTTCTACAACTTCATCCCAACCTACTCTCTTTCCATATTTTCTCCCAATCCTTTTGCTTTGTCACTAACAATTAGAGCAGTCATATTCATGTTGTCTTTTTTCATCAACTGTCTCTAGACGCTTGTGATTCTCAGGTATCGCCTATTCCTACTCACCATGTTCATCTATTCCCTCGGCTTTAACTACTGTGTAAATATGCTGATGACTCACAGTGCCTGACCTCCAGTCCAGTCTTCCTCATAAGCTCCAAACTCATATACCCACTCAACCTTCTATTGGACATCTCCAATTGAGGACAACAGGCACACCTCACACTTCACAGTTCTACAACTAAACTCATTACCTCCCCACCCCATCCTCAAATCAACTCATTTTCCAACATCCAATCAGTTTTTTTTTGTTTGTTTGTTTTTTAGCAGTAGCTCAGTTTAGTCTGGGCTCCTCTTTTGTCCAAAATCCAGTCAATTACTACATCCTGTGAATTTTGTTTCCTTCAAACTCATATCTACCCATGTTATTTTTAGTTCATGCGATCATTATTAATGCCTAGATTACTAGCATAGCTTCTGAAAGTTGTCGCTGTGCCTCCAACTCTTGGCCTGCATGGTATTTCCTCCACACTGCAGACTGAACGATATTTGTCTTGAAGTAGTTTAATGCCCCCCTCCCAACTATCCCGATGATAAAACACTCAACTGGCAGCACGTGTTACAAGTACCTTCATGGTCCGGCTCTTGCTGTCTCAGATCTCACATCCTGCTCAGTATGCTGCTCTTTCTCACTTGTACTTATATGCTCTTCCTTCCATCCAGAAGGCTCTCACCACTCACCTCCTAACAACCCTCCTCTCACTTAACTTAGCTCCTTAAGGGCTCAGCTTAATTGCCACCTCTTCCAGGAAGCCCCTTCTCTGATTCCTTTCCTCTCTTTCCTATTTGTTACAACACAGAGCTTATTTGAGGAGTAGAGACCAGCCAGGGAGGTTTCCAAGGGGTAAATCTGTAAGTGAAACTGAAACTCGTCTCCCTGAGAAAGTATGCTTATCAGAAATCATTTTTACCAGACTTTGTCTTAAGGAGGATACTGTAACAGATGGCAATGTTTGGGAGGCAGTGAATGAGTGCCTGCTGGGCAGGCTGAGCTACGTTCTAGGAGGACAGGTTCTGTTCATTGAAGGCTTTTGTTTCGCTGATTGGGGAGTGCAATTTTGGGCCTAGAGCTAAACTGTCCAGAATAACACAGGAAGGCCGAGAACCTTCCCTGCCTTCACCAGCTTTGACTGAACTGCGCTTGCTGTCTCCTCTAAATAAAATTTGAACAAACAAGTGCTGTTTCCTCTTGTCATACCTCTGCTTCCCACTAACACACCGGTAACAACTCTTCATTCTAAATTCCTATTTACCTGTTTATCTTCACGACCAGATTTGAGGGTCAGGGACTGAGAACTGAATGCAGTTCTAGCTTATGATGTATTTACTTATTTACTTAACAAACAGAAACACTGAGATTTAGAGAGCTTAGGTGAGACGCCCAAGATCACACAGCATCAGGGCTGGTTTGGAAAGCAAACCATCTGACTCCAGGGCTTATGTGAATAACCAGTTACTCTGCTGCCCCATGAATAGCTTATACCCACTCAAAATTGAATAATGAACTTAAAATCAACAAGAAAACAATAAAAGTCTATTTCTTTCTCACCCCTTGAAGTCTATCACTACTGCCTCCCCCTGGCCTCTGGTTCATTCGGTAAGACCTTAACTCCCCAGGACATTTTATGATAATAAAGTGCAGTGTGTACATGTTGAGAAGACTTGGAGATTTTATTGATGGTATTTATTGATGTGTTCACAAAAAATTGATGTGCAATGGAGAGAGAGAGAATTTATTATTTTCTGGTGAATATCTATGAATCCACTGAATCAGTGAGAAATCAAAGGTGATACTTGAAATAAAGCTCTGAAATACTCACTTCTCTTGGCGACCTTGAGCCTCCTTCTCGAAATGTTGGTTTACATCTGAAATTAATCTGTCATTTGAAAAGAAAAGTATATTATATTAGAAATAAGCATCAGATTAGACTGCCTTACCTGAAAGAGAAAAAACCAACAACAGTGACAGATATTGAGACTGCAAAACAAAACCTCCAAAGAACAAGGAATAATACTCTTCTTAGTCTTTTGAAATCATCACATTAGATAATCAACAGAGAGCCCAAGCGATTCTGTATCTCCAACCCCTTTCCTTCATTCTCACTGATGAAATCTAAGTACCTTTAAACAATAATGTTCTTACACCACAAACGTGAGAAACCGAGATAAGAAACAGCCCAGAGGAAAGATATTGGCCGCTGAAACTACCCAGCTGGGTTTTGGTTTGGAAAAGTAGAAAATAGAAACTTGAGATTTTTTTTTAGCGTTATGATGATTATTCAAAGACAACAGAGTTGTTCTTTATAAAAGGATTCAGCACTGCCTTTCTTTTAGAGGTGGAGGTTTCCTAGTGGGCACATTTACATCTTGGTTAGCTAGTCGATAAAGTGAAAGGAGCAAAAGAATGAAGGTAGAGACGAGGCAGGGAAGTTGGCACAGAAAAGATAATATTAAGATAAAATGTTGGTAGTCATTGCCACAAGATATCAATTAGGATCAACTGGTCATGTCAGTGAAACTAAATGAATGTCCTGGGAAACTAAAATATTCCAATGCATTTACCCACGGCAGCTCAAGAACATAGATAATACACAGAGAACATAGATAATACACAGAGAACATAGATAATACACATGAAAATGGACTGAGAAGTGTGAAGGGGAAGAAGATGGCAGACCAGTCACTAGTGGAGCCTTTCCCATCCCTTAAATGACAGATAAATGAACTTAGCCGAATCCACTTATTCTGGAGGCTTGACACCACTAGGATGCCACTTCCAGCCCCACCGACACGTTTGAGCAGCAAGAGGAGGAGCCCCACAGACTAAGAGCTGGCTTCCAGCTTGCTTGCTCCCTTGGAGGCACTTTGGGAAGAAGTAAACCACACAAGTCAGATACATTTGAACAACAATTAAAAACAGCTTATAGAGTTTTTTCCTTCTTTAAAAAAAACAGCTTGTGGAAAAGCCTACGGGCAAATAGTAATGCTTGAACTGAGATGATACAATGAAAGAATCAGCACACACCACAGGCTTTTCCATCTAACTGTGTTATTCCTTTTCCCAAGAGTCCATATAAAATGATATCAAATTACCCTTCAGCAAACAAGACAGTGAATGACTCTTAACGTTGTCTTTCCATGATTAATCTGGTAATAATGTTGAACCTCCAGCTTTTTTTTAAAGGGCATTGTTTTCAAAAAGTTGGAACTAGAAATTTACACCAGCCCTCCGAAGACCAAATACTTGCAATGTAACAAAACTGCAGCAGGTGGCGTGCTCTTACCTTTTCTAGCTGCTCAATGCAGGCGGTGTGGACGACGATTTTACAGACTGCACACTTCCTCCTGAGAGCTGATTTCTGAAACATTCAATTCAAAAGACAAGAAAGAAATGTTAACAGTCTGTTCTGAAGAGTTCCCTAGTATTAAAGAGGGCATATATAATATATACATAAATACAGCAAATATTGCAATATTTCTATTACTAAGCAAATTTAAAACTTCATCTTAAATATCAAATAAGCTGACAAACTTAACAGTTCTCTCCACTCACTATGTAGCTCCGTGTCTGTGTGACTTAGGGTGGCCTAGATTGTCTCTTCAAATAACAATCATAATAATAGCTCCAATATTTTGAGCGTATAATAAGAACTAGGCTCTTTATTCTGTCATTTCTGTTTCAGAACCTTACAATAGAGGCATTATTCTCTTCCATTTAAAATATTTTTTACATTATCACTCAAGTAGCTAAGGGGCAGCACCAACATCCAAACTTAGATGTAAGGTGAAAACAGGAATTCTTTCCCTATCGCCAAAGTGCCTAGATTTTCAGGGGCCATTCATTTTAGGCTTCTATCCCAGGCGTGAGTCTAGACTAAGTTACTCAGGTTCTGCCCAAATCTTCCAGAAGGAAAAGAAGGCAAGTTCAGCTTTTACACCCAGGAAACAAGAATAACCACAAAAGCAGCAAAAGCTGCTAATAGGAATATAGCATTTGCTATGTGCTTTTATAAGCACTTCGCAAATAGTGCTCACTTAACCCTCACAACCCTATGAAACAGGTCCTATTCTTAATTCCATTTTACTGGTGAGAAAAATGCCCAAGGTCAGTGAATTAAGGCACAGCAGAGCCAGGGGGTCTGGCTTCAGAGTTCATGCTTATAAGCAGAACACAATTCAGCCTCTCTGGCAGTCAGTACTGGTTTAAAATTATAATAAAATAAAACTTTTAAAGTTTTTCTTTTTCCTCTCATAAAAAATAGACTGCATGGAGAGAGATGAATGAGTGGAATCGACATTTCATGACTGCCAGTGTCATGCAGGATCTAAGATAGGAAAGCTCAGGCCTCTCAACAAAGGACAGACTGGAAGGAGCAGGCGCATGAATAATTTCTGTGTTTGAGCCTGAAAGAAACGTAATATAACTAAGCCTATTTGTCAAATGGTCTATCAACGCATCCAAGTGTGAAAGGCCCTGAGTTCCTGTCCTTAAGGAGCACTTAGAGATTGCTGGCAACCTTCCCCCTTCTGAGGAATGGTTTCCCCTGCTGAGGTATAATTTTTGAATCAATTGTGTCAGGTAGGTGAGAAGAAATAAAGTGTTGCTGCTGCCAGAGAAGTCTGGAGGAGCTGCAAAGCACCACCGTGGAGGGGCAGGATCGGGAAAGAAGCTGAAGCCTCGTAGGTCTTGGATGGCCGCATTTGTTCAACATGGGGTATTTACATATTATCAGCTGCCTACAAAGAACCTAAAACACTGCAGTACTGCAGCTATGAAACGTGTAGAACATATCCACTAAGATTTCTTTTCCCTGCTTGCAGATGCTTTCATTACTCTTGGATTTCCTCTTCCTGAGAGAAGAGCATGGTGTAGCACATGAAATAAGTTTGACAATTGCTTTTGCACATATCAATGATAAAAGAAACCAAAGCATCTAGCTACACTACTGAGCAGTGCCTTGTTCTATTACTAACAAAGAAAATAAGAGAAAAAGAAGGAGAGGGAGGAACAAGAAGACATGAAGTAGTAATCATAGCAGCACAGCAGTAGCAATCAAAAGAACAATTAAAAAGATTCTATTTGGCTCTACAGAGTAGAGCACCCATAAGCAAATCATGGTCTCCCTTCTGTTTCCTATGGATATCCTGGTGCAAATCACTTCTTTGGCACCACCTGCAGAAAATGCATGGGCCACTTGAGTCACATTGCTAATCAGAGCTACAGTGACGCTAAGGAAACTAGAGTTGATTTCTGTCTATTCATTTCCCATGAAACTCCTACTAAATTACGTTGTGGATAAGCAAAGCAATATTACCAAAGGTAGGCAACTACTTACGGGCTGTGATTTAAGGATTCCTGAAAAGCCTCCCTCCTTGCCAATAACTCCTGTTCTAGTCTAGCATTATGCTTGACACTATGCTCTGCATTAAGTTCTACAGAGTTCCAGGGATTTTATGTGCTCCTATGAAAGTCACTGAAGATGGGAGGAGGACACAGAGGAAATTCAGGAAGCCTCATGCATTCAATGAAACGGGATTGCCTCTTCCTTTCTTTGTTTTACAAATCGGGACTCTGAGTCAAATTACCTTTTGAACAAGGGATGTGGGCTAGAAGACCTTGAGAACCCATGGGTTAAGATATGTTATGTTTCAGCTTTCTGGAGCCTCATGTGAATGCACTAACATCATTCATATGGAATAATTTAAGTGCAATGTTCTGCAAATGGTAATATATGGAGTCAAGTGCTGTAAGTTATAAAACTGATTTTAACTGAACTATATTGAATTTTAAAAGATCCTCTTGAAATATATTATGTACTTACATGCCTTTGAGGCAGAATATATAGACCGTATTCTAGATTTGCCTTCATAAAGACTACAACATGATATAGTCTGTAGACTGTTCCAAAGAACAGTCGTTTTCCTGTTTCCTGTCCTACCGTTTGGATAGAGCTCCTTTGAGTCACTGTTGCCGTCTTTTGTTGCTCTCAATTTCCTACATGGCAGCTTCTCAACAGCTTTTAATCTGAGAAATCAGATAATCACAGTTTACAGTCATATGTAAAATTAAGGAAATAAATTGTGAGTGAAGGTCCAAAGTCTTTTGCCCAAGTAAATAATTTTTTAGTTCCTTAATTGATGGAAACTGTTTTAGCAAATCTGGAATTCTAACCACTGATTTCTTGGTTTATGACTATGTTCAACTGGTTAAAGTGATTTGAAGTAGCTGGATAAAAACTTCAGGACAAAAATTGCCCAGAACATACAGAATTTTGTGCTTAGTGAGGCTGCAATTTTTTTTATTTTGAAATTTCTAGTGCTCACTTCGGCAGCACATATACTAAAATTGGAAATTTCTAGCTAAATACAAAGGTAAAATGCAGGAATCCAGACATTCTAAATACTATAAATATTCACTTTCTCCTAAATAACTTATATGAGCCACTGCTTCCTTCACTATGAAAGGTGATAAATTAAACTAAGGAAAGTCACTTAAAAGTATGCAGTAGGTTATCTCTTGTTTTATTTTTTTTTAAACTCAGTTGGGCTCTTGTCCACCAGAGTGGAGTGCAATGGTACAGTCTTGGCTCACTGCTATCAGAATAGGCTCATGTGGTTATGGAGGCTGAGAACTCTTAAAATATGCCATCCGCAAGCTAGTCAGTGAAATCGTTTGGATACTTGTCCCTCGCCAACTTTCATATTGAATTGCAATCCCCAGTGTTGGAGGTGGAGCTTCGTGGGAGGCGTTTGGGTCATGGGGGTAGATTTCTCACACATGATTTAGCACCAACCTCTTGGTGCTATCTTTATTATAGTGAGTGAATTCTAATGAGATCTGGTTATTTAAGAGTATGTGGCCCCTTCCTCTCTCTCTTGTTTGCTCTTGCTTCACCACGTGAAATGCTTGCTCTTCTTCTACCATGATTGTAAGCTTCCTGAGTCCTCCACAGAAGCTGATGCCAAAGCTATGCTTCCTATTCAGCCTATAGAACCATGAACCAATTAAACCTCTTTTCTTTATAAACTTAAAAAAAAAAAAAAAAAAAAAAAAAAAACACCTGCCTCCCCGGTTCAAGCCATTCTCCTGCCTCAGCCTCCCAAGTAGCTGGGATTACAGGGATGCACCACCACGCCCAGCTAATTTTTGTGTTTTTAGTAGAGACGCGACTTCACCATGTTGGCCAGGCTGGTCTTGAACTCCTGACCTCAGGTGATCCTCCCACCTTGGCCTCCCAAAGTGCTGGGATTACAGGCATAAGCCACCATGACCGGCCAAGGTTAGCTCTTATTCTTCACATTGGGACATAATTGTTATAGAACCTAGCACAAAAACATAATTTAAAAAATAAATATTGCCTAGAACATGAAACGTTTAAAAATTAAAATTATTTAAAAAACAATAATTTGCCCTCCTAGATGAATTTAAAGGCCCGTTGAACTTACTGCTTTAAATACCAAGTGGCACCTAAGCACTCTGACTAAGGTTTTCCTAATTTTGCTGGTGTTAGTATTCAAAAGAAATTTATTTGTAGATGTGTGGTAAAGGGTGGGCGGGGGGCGAAGTGGGACATATCTGTTTAAACTAAGACAAAACAGAATACAGTATAGATCACATTCCATTATATTACACTGTTCTAATAAAAACATGACCAGCATTTACTTAAATAATAACACAATGACACATATGCTAGGTTTTAGGATGGTGGGCATGATCTCACCGGCAGCCACACAGTGGTTATAAGAGAAAACACATCCTACATATTTCCCATGCTGCAGGCACTGCTGGCATTCAAAGTAGTGACAGCTCTCCACCAATCTTCAGCTCATAGCAGGCATGGGAGAAAAAGTGTCACAGCTTTGGACCACTGGAGCAGGGGATGGGGATTGAGGAGGACAGAGGGATCAGTGGCAGGCAGTGGAAGAGAGTAGACAATGGTCCCTGATAAGGAGCTCAATATTTAATCCTATCCCATCCAACTACATCCCTTGCCCAAGTCCGTGACCTATATCTACCAAGAAAGCTATTTTTTTTTCTTCCTTTGAGCAAGATACGTGATTTCTGCTAAGTGACAATGAATATCTGGTGGGAGTTGAGAGAGTTTGATAGAGAAGAAAATGAAAGGAAGGAAGGGAAAGATGGTGGTGAAAAATAAAGATGAAAAAGAGGGAAGGGAAAAAGAGGGGAAGGGTAGGAGAGAAAGGAGAGGAGAGGGGAGGAAAGGAGAAGAGGGTGGCTGCTTGAAGGCTTCAGGTTACCTAGTTTCACAGGCCTGTGATTTATAAAAGGATTGGGGCCTTTTTCCTGCCCAAGGTAAATAAAATCTGTCATTCCCAATCATGAGAAGTTTGACACCCA